ATAAGAGTGAAAAAATACAAAATTGCGCTCCGGTTTTCCTCAAAGTTCTGCATTTACGGCTTGCGTCATCAGACGCCCGGTTGACGAATTCAGAAGAAACGCCCTTTTATTAGTTAACATATAATTAATTAGTTGATTATAAAACTGCTTAAATAAACCCGTTTTGAAGGCGCAGAGCAGGCCCAGGATGAAAACCCGCAACTTTCGTAACACGCGTTACACAATGCCGTGTAGGTTCGGGCTTGAACTTTCTCAAAAATCCCACCTGGCCAGAGAACTTGCATAATTCTCGTTAACAATCAAAATGCAACAAGAGCATCAGACTCCAATCGTTTGACCGTTTTAGGGCCCGTATTTTTTCGGTTTTAGCAAAATCAGAAAACCATTAAAAATAATATAAAAAATTACCCGAAACCACACACAAGAAACCAAACCCGACAAAACGCGCATTCAATCGTTCAATAAATTGGAAAGCGTTCAGCAAAACCGCACCTTACATGGCCAATTAAAGTGACCAAAAAACTCTGTTTTAGATATGTTTAAGTTATACCACATCTCAAGTACCGCCAAGACTGCAGATTCCTGGAGCCATCCCTGTAGGCCGCCCAGCCCCATTTAGAACGCAAAGTGCGCCCCCCAGCGTCAGGCTGCGTCGGCCCAATGCCATCCCTTCAGCAGCTAGAGAAGTACGAAAGCAAACCACCCCCAACCCTGACTGAAAACCCGGTGTTTTTCCAGGTGAGGCCAGTGGTGGAAGAAATAGAGGAGCCCAACTATCCCCAACCCAGCCCCACATCGGCTTTCGATGACGAAGTGAACAAATTGGGGCTGTCGCTTCAGTCGGGGGCTCGAGACGACGATGAAGGTATTTGGCTCTTCAACTACGGTTTGCTCTGGTTAAGTGCTTCCGCTTATAGTGTTTCTTTTCTTAGCGTACCGCAACAGGGGCGGACAGAGTGGTAAGCTAAAAAACCGCAATTAATGCACTTTGTCTTGGCGATGTGCTAAGTTTGCACCAGCACTTATTTCGATTAAATCGGACACGTTCATTCTCACTAAATCATGTCTCTATACATACAGACCGAGCCACTCCTTTGCCATTCAGGCCAGAAAGGCCGGTTCCAATCGCTCGCGAGCAGATCAGGGACAAGCCCTTGATATCGCGGCCTTCAGCCCCTCCTCCAAGGCCAGTGCTTCGGCAGGAATTTAGGGACGAGCCTCAGCCAATCAGACAGCAGGCCCCAGTCAGACAACAGGTAGGAATAATCGCCAGTTCAGGAAGAAATAGCCATCTAACAGTGACGAAACTCAGATCAGCAGACCTGCTCCAGCTCCTCAAACGTTCAGGGCTGCGCCCAAAATCGCCGCCCGCCAGCCGGCTTACGACGACGAAGAGGATTTGAGGGAAAGAAAGCGGAAGCCAGTGAGCCAAATTCTGAGCAAATACCGCAATGATAACGAAGACGGAAGCATCACATGGGGATTCGAAAATGATGATGGCACTTTCAAGGAGGAGACTTTGGGGGCTGATTGCATCATCAGGGGCAAATACGGCTATGTGGACCCTGATGGTGTTAAGAGGTGAGTTTCCTTGCAGTTGCATCGGTTCCAGAGTTTTGCTTGGATGCTTTCAGGGAGTTCTCCTACGAAACCGGCAATAAGTGCGACGAGCCGGAGCTGGACGAGGAAGATCTGCTGCCTCAGAAGCCCAATATTCCCCAGTCGAAGAACCGACCTTTACCCTACAGGCCGGCTCAACCTCAATACGTAAATTAATTATTTATGTGACTTTATCAATTTGCTTTTGTACATAATCCTGGTTTGCCATTACTTTTTCCGTTCACATGAAACCATTTTTGATTGTAAGTTCTATCTCATAGCATCTCTATTAATAAAGTTGTCCAAAAAGGATCTAAGGCGTTGTGAAATGTTGATTAGCTCCACGTGCTGCAAAAGTAAAGAACATTTTCTCGTCTAAAGACACAATTCATGGAAAAGCGCTTAGCTATAAATAAAAAACCCAAAATCACGCCAGCGGGAAGGCAATAAATTCCTAGTCCTCATCTCATTATTCCATGAATCACCCACGTTTTATGACTTGATCTCGCGCTCTTCAGAGAAGAACCTGAACAACATTTACTCAGCGGAAAGATTTCATCTAAAATTTGCTGCGCAAACAAAGATTAATTCCCATATAATGAGCAATGGGGCACCTATGTGGCTATAATTGAATTTTTCCAAATGTATTTGCAATAAATATCACAGCTGGAATTGTCCCTCAAGTCACCAGTTTGCCAAGCTTAAACAACAATATTTTCGAGCTGAAATCTCTAAGCAAACATCCAAGATTCCACATCAAACAAGATTTGTCCCCAATTAACCAGGGGGCCGATGCATCATCGCATTGTAAACATTTATTGCTTTACAACTATCGCCATCCAAAGTTTCATATATAACCGACTGGGACCCGCCTTGCAGCCATTCACACGCAACATCTAACCAGAAGCTTCCAAAATGAAATCCACAACTTTCCTAGTGATTCTAGCGCTGTTGTTCACTCTAAACCACGGTGCCCCTGCCACATCTTCAACCGATGCAGACCTGGAGGAGTCAACAACTGATATTGGAAGCGAGCCAACCATCGCTGCATCTTCCAGAGAATCCACCACACTTGGGGCGGATTCCACAACAGAAACAACCACGTCCCAAAGTGAAACTGCTGCTCCATCCATTCCTGGTGGAAACTCCCCATCTAAACACCCGGTAAAACCAGGAAGCCCTCAGCCAACCAAACCAGGCTCAAATGGAGGAAACTCTGGCAAACCATCTCTATCCCAGCCCAGCCCGGAGGGCTCTGGCGCGAACTCTCTAGAGCAATCTGAAGAGCAAAGCGAAGAAGCGAGGAACAGCAGGGAAACTGAGGAACAGAGCAATGAAAGTGATGAGGACTCCAGCAGAGGGCAGGAGAAAAAGAGCGAGGGATCCCGAAGGACTGAGATTATCAACAAGTTGAAAAGTAAGCTGCTTTAATACTGACCCGGGTAGTACGTAAGACAAATTTTTGTGCATACAGAACATGAATGTTCTCAGTGTTTAGTGTTATAAAATGTATACCTAAACTGAATGTGAAGAGCAGCAAATAAAAAAGTGTCTAGTAAGGCCTGGGCCTGTTTCCAAAATTATTGGCGTAGTTTTTTCCTCGTCCCGAATTCCAGTTGTCTGGAGGCGTAATGGCAATATCCATGTAATCGCCCAATGTGATTCGGTAATTGCCCAAAGTTTTAAGATCATCCGCCCCTTTGGCCCCTGTGAAAGTGCTGCCAATCTCCCGCATTCTGCAATAAACCACTCATTAGCATCAACCCAACGCTCATTGAATAATCGCTTGCCTATACATCGGGCTTCTGGAGTCTGGATAGACCAAGGAGAAACTGAACTTGGTTCCTTTGCGTCGAGCTTCCGGATTCACTTCTTTTACAAGTTGTGTCAATTCGTGTAAAGTGGCGTCTTTCCACGTGTAAATTTGCAACTCATTACTAGGCGTGTTTCCCTTGTGGTATTCAGATATTTTGTGGTGTTGGCCGGATGAGGAGACAAACACTCGCAACAGGAATGGACAAACCTAAACAGCGAGGACATAGTTGGGGTGAATTGGAATTTTTGGAAGAACCTGTTTGCTGAAGTGCTGAACCTGTGTGATGAAGACAAGGAAACAAACACTAAAGCCCTTTCAGGGCTTTCTTCCAGGAACCGGGCTTTAGGGGCTGGAGACAATTCCAAAAAACACATGCCTTCAACAAGGTTTAACTCACCTTTTGCCGGTCTACTGAATCCTCTTTTTTCTCCTCAATTACTACGTCTATAGCAGCCATTCTATATATCGCACTGAAGGCTCGAAACTAGAATAAACAGTCAACTTAGAAGCAATGCAATCAATCAGAATCAAGTAAATCAAGTAAACAACAAGCTGAGGTTATGGTGTTGAATTTGACTTGGTGTAGGTGTAGCATTGCCAAATTTGCCTTAACGCATACAAATATGATTGCTATAGCCAACTTGTAAGCTAACATAAATGTCCGCAAAAGCAACACTATTTAATTAAAAATGTTTACGTTAAAAAAACCAACTAGTGGCCAACAATAATGAAAAAAACCATGTGATTTTACCCACAATCTGACAACCATCTTTGCTTCCTGAGCGCCGCAGAGAGTCTTTGACCGCCGTCAAATGCCAAAGTTTCTACAACTTTGTAGGTTATGTAGTTTGAATTCCGAATTTTTTAAAGAGCCTTTCTCTCAAAAACTAGCCAATTTATCGAAGAGCGATGGAGGAATTTCAGGAAGGCACCCAGAAGAGATGGATTCACTTGCGGAATATACTGGAACGACCTGGTCCCTTTAGTCGCCCAGAATACGTGCCTTCTCCAGAAATTCTAGAATTCCTCCTTACTTCATGCAAAGTCCTAATTATTGGGGCTGGAGGACTGGGCTGCGAACTGCTGAAGGACCTGGCAATGATGGGTTTCAGGCATTTGCATATAATCGATATGGATGTAATAGATTTATCCAATTTAAATAGGCAGTTTTTGTTCAGGCATAAGGACATTGGTTTACCCAAAGCAGAAGTAATTTAACCAACTCAGCTGTTAATTTATCATCTAAATATTATGGTTTTTGCAGGTAGCGGCCAAATATGTGAATGCAAGAGTCCAGGGATGTCAAGTAGTGCCGCACTATTGCCCCATCCAGGACAGGAGTGAAGGATTTTATCAACAGTTCCATGTTATAGTTTGTGGCTTGGACTCAGTCCCAGCCAGGAGATGGATTAATGGAATGGTCGTTTCATTACTCTGCTATGATGAAGACGGGGTTTTAGATCAAAGCAGCGTTATTCCTTTAGTGGACGGAGGTATTTCAGCTCGTTCAAGAGCTTTTTGGAGATTTTTTGTCAATGAAGTTGAATTTTAGGAACAGAAGGCTTTAAGGGCAATGCTCGCGTTATTGTACCCGGTGTAACTGCTTGCATCGAATGTACCTTAGATCTGTATCCACCGCAAGTAACTTATCCACTGTGTACAATTGCAAACACTCCCAGACTACCTGAGCATTGTATAGAATATGTTAAAGTGGCACAGTGGCCTAAAGGTAGAATATTGCCTAATTAGCTGCAAAGGAACTGGTTGTAACAGTGAAATTTGTGTAGATAATCCATTTGGAGTGGATCTGGACGGAGACGATGCCCAGCACTTAACATGGGTCCATGAAAAGGCCGTCGAAAGAGCCACCCAATTTAATATTAAAGGAGTCACTTATAGACTAGTTCAGGGAGTTGTAAAGAATATAATACCAGCAGTCGCCTCAACCAATGCAGTTATTGCAGCTGTTTGTGCAACCGAAGTGGGTGAATATATGTGGAAAACAGCGGTATCTTTTCAAGGGCAATTTCTAGGTGTTTAAAATTGCATCAACCTCTCTCGTGCCATTAAATAACTTTATGATCTTCAATGACATAGATGGGATTTACACCTACATTTATGAGGCCGAACGTAAGGTGGATTGCACGGTTTGCTCTAATATACCTCAGTTGGTAACTGTAGAAGATCCTTCCAAGATGAAACTGAAGGATCTAGTTGAATTGTTGCGTGAAAGTCCGAAGGTATTTTAAAATCGACTTGTTTTGTTTTTGCTGCAATCATTTTTCTGCTGTTTTGTAGTTCCAAATGAAAAGTCCGGGCCTTACTACCACTGTAAATGGCACAAACAAGACTCTGTATATGTCAACAATTGGGGCCATTGAAAAAATGACCAAAGGCAATTTAACGAAATCTCTGTTGGAGTTGGGGCTGAAAGATGGGCAGGAACTTATGGTTGCCGATACTACCACTCCGAACGCCATAATTGTGAAACTGGCTTTTAAACAAAGTGATACTGAAATGAAATAGACATTAAGAGCCCTTTTGGTTCATTGGAATCGGCGGGAAGTAAACCATTACTATTTATAATCCCAGTTTATTACGTTTTTATTTTAGTTTTATTCATGTTTGGTGCGTGTTTTATTATCGCGGTATTTTTGGATCAAAAACTGGCTCACAATGAGCAGATACGAACAGACATTCGCCATAATTCTGCTCAGGATTTTATGATTGACTGAGAAGAATCCTGCGGCATTTATACAGGGCTGTCTCTGGAAACTTTGCCGATTCAGTACTCCCAATTCTCGGATGTAGCAGGTTTGGTTATTGAATTTCCTGCCTGAGGAAAAATCAGCTTGCAAAGTGCAGCAGATTATGGAAGTTTTCTTTGTTTCAACCGACAGTTTTTCTGCTGTACAGGCCAAGATAACTGCTTGGACCTGAAATTGACCACCAAAAAATGTTTAAGACTTCCTAGTGGTTCCCGATGCTCACCATTGATCCAGCGATCCCAAACAATCCCATGAATATTAAGAATCCCATGTTGCTTTTAATGTCCAGCATACCATCGATTTGGAAATTGCCGATTACTTGGATAGAGATGAGCATCACACTGGCATCCAGCCAGGTGATCGTGATCACCCAAATCAGGAAGAACATGATAACTCCGAATATTTGATTGCATTCGTCTACTTTGTTGCACAAGAAGATGTGGCATTTCCGCAAAGTGACCAGTTTTTCGCACGCGCAAAAGCTGGGATTATCTGTGCCTTCGGCGAAGATCTGCAACGCAAGTGCTTGAAGAGTTCTTGGGATATTTTCCGGGTTTTACCTCTGATGGTCTGCCGTCGTCGTTAATTGAGAACACTTGGTTTTGGGATGTTCTAGTGAAATAGTCGTTCATCCCAAGCAGCATCTGGTTCAAGTTCTCCAGGCGATGGGTGATCTCGTTGATTACCATCGAGATTATCAGCAACACTGCATTGAGTTGACATAATTGTATGAACCTACATAAAAGAGATTAACATTAGCAGTGTTTCCGAGTTATTCGTTTTCTTTTACCGTTCAAGCATTCCAGTGATGAATAATTTGTGCACGGTAATCATCTGCATGCCGTACGAGATTTCGAATAGGAAGATCGAGCAGCAAAAGATGAGCATTCCATTGCTGATCCACGGGAACCACTTGTTCTGGCTGCTGAACTGAATGCATCTGAAACGAGTGCTAGAAGCAACTATTGCGGATTGAATGGACACTCACCTGTCCTGCGAGGAAATGCTTTGAAGAAACGCTAGAATTTCGTCGTGCTTGCAAAACGTAATGGTTATATTATTCAGGACGTTACAAATTAAGATCAAAAGTTGAGCCAGATCGTCGGTAGCTCTTTCGATGTTTTGGTGCTTCAGCACTTGTCTTTTCCATGCTAGATTCGTCAAACAAGTCGTGGTCAGGAGAATTATTTGGCAGACTGCCGCCGCCCAAATTAGGTACTTGCTAAAAATCACTCCATTTATTATTTGCGCTAAAACTTCCCACTTTTTACCTGTAGATATTTCCGTACTGTATGGGAAACACGTTGAATAGTTTCGCCACAAAAACCACCACGGGGTATTTTCGGCCGTAGGCGCGATTTTCCATCTTACAAAATTGCGGAGAAAATGCCTTCTAACGTCCACCTAACTCGTCAGCTTTATTTGCTACTTAGCGCAATTTCCTGTAATGTATCCCTGAAGTTTTTCTGAGACTATTAGATTAATTGCTACTTTTCGCAATTACTTCCTTTTGCATTGTTCGGCTGGCTTTTTCTACTTCCGCTAATACATATAGGGGCTGTTTAGGGAATCATACACTTTAATAATAATAATAATAATAATAAGGGTTTATTGCTGATTTTCCTTCAACGACGGAGTTTTGAAACAATTCCCGCACTTTTTCGGGTCTCAAAAGCGCCAGGTTCCTCCCAGAAACACTCCCCAATCTGGCTTACGGGAGCCAGACCCAAAATGCCTGCCATACGAGCCAGTGAGTCCCACTTCCGCATTTGGTGTATCAATAAAATTCCAAGTGCCCGAAGCTTTTAAATCRGTGCCTGCCAAAGAAGGGAGCATTTCAACCATCCATGGGCAAAATAAGGAAATTTACCTCCATGGCGAAGGTGATCAGCCTGAACTCCAACGGAAGACGAGGATGGTTTATGCAAGTAGTCCAAGCTGCCGCCAACCGCATCCGGACGCAATCCGCCTCCCCTGGAAAAGTCTTTTGATACGTATCCTGAACCATCCAGACGATGTTGGTTGTTGTCGAAGACCGTTCCGGAGTGTTGGATAGTTGCGATTCCTGGGGACTCCACATTGACGCTTGTTTGCCTGTTTTGCCTGCGCCAATTGGAAAAAAATGGAAAATTCGCCTTTAAAAAAACCGCTCAGTTCACCTTTTGGGCCTTTCTAAGGGAGAGAAGCCTTCGTGAGGAAACGCAGCTGCACAAACAACCACCAGCGCAAATATTAAAAGAGAGCTACTCGTCATGCTCTTAGCAGGATAACATACCTAAAATAAACTGAAAATAGAGGCCAGCAAGGCTTTCGCCGGAAGTTTTTTGCCTGATAGGTTCAAGGTTCGCGGGGAAATACTTTTGCTTATGTATAAGGATAGTTTCCCAATTTGAGCTCGAAAAGATAAATAGTTTGGTTTTATTCGAAAATTAATTATTTGTTGGTTGCAAAAAGAATCTTTGATTCGCAGATTTTTGAGTTTTTGTTTTGTGAGCAAGAATTTATTTAAAAACTTTTAAAAACAAGACTTTTTAGCGCAGGTTGAGAACATTTTTCCTGTTGGTAGCTTTCACAGAACTTGATAAGTTCACGGCTCATTTTTGTATTAAATTCATGAAAGTCGCGCGTTAGATTCCTCAAAACTGCAGGCGAATTTGTCCTAAAAATCACTTTTCGGTTCACGATTAAAAATCCCTCATCTGTTCTATTAATCCAGTTTACGTTATTATTATTATAGTTTTTACTAACGAATCAATGAACTTTCAAGCAGGGGCGGATCCAGCTTTAAAGTCAGGGGCGGTTATGTAGAAAAATACAGTCTTCTGTATGAATCTTATAAAATTAGAAAAATGATCGTCGTTTGGTGCATCGTTTTGCATGTTTCTCGGAAGCAAAATGAGCAAGAACGCTCGTTTTTACATCATTCCAGAGATAACTAAATGGCCTTTATTCGAAGTTTCTCA